AGACAAAGAGAGACAGAGAAAAAATGAGAATTAAAGCTCAGCATTTTGTTTGACAAAGGTAGCTGATTGACTTTGTTTAATTCAGCATTTCCCAAGTCAATCCCACAATTTAAGAACTAGAAAAGACTCTTAATATACTACTGAAAATTCTGGTTTAAAGTAAACAATATTCCCTTAACAACTATAAGATGCCTATAGGTAGAGATTCTCATGTAGCATACATTTGCTTATATTCATCCAAACCCCAATAGCTACTTAACTTTCATAACTAATGTCATAAGTTTTCAGAGTTCTTGGTACATTTTTTTCTTTGTTTCTTTCTTTTGGATAGTTCTGGGGCTTGAACTCAGGGCCTAGGCACTGCCCCTGAGCTTCTTTTTGCTCAAGGCTAGCACTCTACCACTTAAGCCACAGCACCACCTCTGGTTTTCTGGTAGTTTCCTGCCCAGGCTGGCTTTGAAATGTGATCCTCAGATCTCAGCTTCCTGAGTAGCTAGGATTACACGTGTGAGCCACTGGCGCCCAGCTACATTTCTTATATTCACTGCTCAAATATATTGTCAGATTCTCACCACTAGCTTAGAAAATGAGCCTAAAGTAGAATTAAATGTCCTTGTTTTACTTAGATATTTACCATTTGAAACTGAATTTTGAACTTAAGTCCTGGTACTCGCTAGGCAGGAGCTCTATCATTTCAGCCCCTCACATCATTAACTATCAAATAGTTTTATGCACTAAGCAGGAAGAAGGGAAATAGAATGAAATAATACTGTCATAAAAACATACGTTTATTTTGAAAACTACTTCTTTGGCTCTGGAAATCAACAGCTACAATGCAAATAAGCAAATATTTTACAGAAATTTATATGGAAGAACTTTTTAGTAGATCATCCTGGTTCACAAATTTTAATAATTTCATTGTATTTGCAACAGGAAATAACTATTAACAAGGAATCGGGTATTTTTTACCAACAAACACAAGAAGAAAACAATTTTATAGTGGTGATAACACCTTATCCTTCCAGCTCCCTTGTATGATAGTTGTTTTTGTTTACACATTTGGGAGCAGGAGATGGCTAAGAAGGAAGGCAAAGTGTTAAGACACTGACAAGTATACAACGCCAAGAACACAAGTGCTAAAATTCCAGAAGATAGCTTCAAAGATCTAAATGCTAGAGCTAGAGGTATGGCTCAGTGGTGGATTACCTGCCTAACAAAATATTTGTTAAAATTTCAATTAAAAAATGAACATAAAAAACCTAACTGCTCTTTAGTTCACTCAGAAAGAGTCTATAATACTAAAAACACACCTCTAATTTTAAATTGTTTTGTTTTGCTTTTTTTTTTAAATAGGTCCTATTACATTGCTCAGGCTGGCCTTGAACTTCTGGGCTCAGGTGATCCTCAGCCTCCCAAGTAGTTGGGACAACAGGTGTACAGTACCATGCCCAGCATTACTTTTAATTTCTACTGCTTTTATTTTTTATTTATTTATTTATTTTTGTTGTTGTTGATCATGGGGCTTGAACTCTGGGCCTGGGCACTGTCCCTCAGCTCTTCAGCAAGGCTAGTGCTCTACCACTTGAGCCATAGCACCACTTCCGGTTTTCTGAGTGGTTTATTGAAGGTAAGAGTCTCATGGCCTTTCCTGCCCTGGCTAGCTTTGAACCGAGATCCTTAGATCTCAGCCTCCTGAGTAGCTAGGATTACAGGCATGAGCCACTGGTGCCCGGCAAATTTCTACTGCTTTTAAAGTATGCCTAGGGTTTAAATATGGGTTTAATGAGTTAGAGTTCAGTATGTTTAAGGGAAAATATTGTTGAAATTATTAAAGCAAAGAAAACACTGAGTCTTTAAATAGGAAATGAATAATTAATATTTCCATTAATAATTCCATTAGGTCAAGAGATATATACTAGAATGTGAAACTAACAATACTCACAGAAAATCCTAAATATCCATTAATACGATTGCCTTGCCAGGCACAGATGGCTCACACCTGTAATCCTAGGTACTCAGGAGGCTGAGATCTGAGGATGGAGGATTGAAGCCAGCCTGGACAGGAAAGTCCATGAGACTCTTATATCCAATTAACCCCCAGAAAACCAGAAGTGGTGCTGTGGCTCAAATGGTAGAAGGCTAGCCTTAAGCAGAAGAGTTCAAGGACAGTGCCCAGGCCCTGAGTTCAAGCCCCACAATTAACAAACAACAAAAAACCACAAATGCCTTGTGTTAATAATTACTTGGAGCAAGCATCTGAGGAAAGTACTCCAAGTCACACACAAATCCTGGACTCTGAGTGCTATCTACCACTGCAAAATTTTCTACATAATTAAGTCCCTTTTTTGAAACTGGGGATAACAGAACAATAAAAACATACATCTGATCTAAAGTTTCTCTAAGTACAGTAATATAAAATCTTGACATTTACTCAAGCTGAAATAATAATGCTACATAATTAACCAATAATTGTTTTTTAAATCTCTTTTGATTAACATGCTATAGATAATTTTAAAGAATTCACACCTAAGAAAAAAAATAAGCATCTTAAAATGTTGCTTACTTGTTTAGGCAGTATTTCACTTTACATGGAATTATTTGCTTTGAAAAGAGAGAGAGAGAAAAAGCATATGCTCTCTATTTCAAAAGGCATGCGAGAATTAAATTAGAAAGTCAACAAGAAAAAGCTCTTACCCATGAAACAATGAATGGAGACTGGTATTTTTCTCCCTTTCAGTCTCTGCCCAATCAATTCGGATTCTTTTTTAGTTCTTATCTCGCTCCATTGGCTCAAAGTAGTGAAACATAGCTACCTGTGCAACCTCTAAGGACAAGAAAAGATGAGAGTGAAAATCAGAGGAAACATTTTTAAAATACTTAAAATACAAAATGTTCCGAACATAAAATTTGATCAACTACAAAGCAAGTGCACACCTGTAATCTCAGCATATGGGAGGCTGAAGCAGGAGCATCACAAATTGGAGGCTAGCTGAGGCAACATGGTAAAATGGTAAAACACCCGCCAAACAAGTCTAAACCCCAGTATTACTCCCTCTCACAAGTTAAAGAAATGTCTATGGTTTCTGTCAAGCATATTATATGAAATTTAATATTTTTTTGTAATCCAGAATTATTTTTCTGAATCCCACTTAAATATCATATTTGTTCACAGAGACAAACCAGAGAATTTAAGTCGAGAAAAAGGAACTACCATGACCAAGGCTCTAGGCAAAATTAGAAATTTGTGGAATAAGTAATTATTTACTCAACTGTTTGATAATTTATTATTACTAAATTATTATTTAGCAATTTATTTACCCAGTGAATTTTAATATTTACTAAGGTCTAATACTACGATTAATAGTTATTAGGATCTAAGAGCCAGTAATAAGGATGAAAGCAATAACCTCTGCTTTCTACACTTTCATCCCACCTCTATCCATTTTTGTTCCTATTATCCTTCCAGATTCTAAGTGCTCATCTTCATCCTGCCCCAAGTTTCCCAACCAGTCACTAGCTAGGAGCCCCATGCAAAAGTTACCATACTTTATTTTCCTCTACACCAACTCCTTGAAAACTGACAAGTCCTTCAGCATTCAAATCTCAAGAATATTATCTATAATTTATTTTATTTTGTTTTGTGGTAGTTTTAAATGCAAGTATTGTTATATAATCAAAACTGACCTTTAACTCTCAATCTCCCTACCTCCACCTCCCAAATGCTGGGATTATGAGCATGTATCACCATTCCCAGCTTCTATGGGAATTTACACACACACACACACACACACACACACACACACTCTTATTGTAAAGGTGATGTGCAGAGGGTTTACAGTTACATAAGACAAAAAGAAGGTAATGAATAATTTCCTTTTCTTTGTTTTGTGTTTGTTGGTTGTGGGGCCTGAACTCTGGACCCGGGCACTGTCCCTCAGCTCTTCAGCTCAAGGCTAGCGCTCTACCACTTGAGCCCCGGCTTTTTCTGCTTATGTGGTGCTAAGGAATCGAACCCAGAACCTTGTGCATGCAAGGCAAGCACTCTACCACTGAGCCACCTTCCCACCCCCTACATTTCTTTTTGAAGTGTCACCTATTCCCTCTCTCTCTCCCATCCCTACCTACAAGTGGTATCGTTCATTTTCAAAATAGTATCTTATGAGAATCACTGCTGTATTTGTTCACCCTTTCTGTGTTCCCTCTTTGTCCTCCCCAAAAACAGATAAACTTAAAAACAAGATCAAAGTACAGAAAACAAAAACAGCAACAAATTTTAAAAAACTCTTGTTTATGGGGGTTTTTTTAAAGAAAAAAAATCCTATTTGTACTCAGGCACTGGTGGCCCATGCCTATAATCCTAGCTACTCAGGAGACGGAGATCCAAGGATTGAGAATTGAAGCCAACTGTGAAGGAAGGAAGGAAGGAAGGAAGGAAGGAAGGAAGGAAGGAAGGAAGGAAGGAA